CTTGCGCCCAAGCGAAACAAACCAAGAACCCGCAGTCTCGATAGGACACTGAAAGAAACGCACCGATCGACGTGATTGGAGGAGTTATATGCTCCGACTTGAAGGGACCGATTACCCCACGGGAAAGGTTGGGCAACCGCTACATGGTGGATTTTATCGATCATCGGACAAACTACTGTCGCGTTTTCTTGGCCAAGTCCAAGGATGTCGTAGCTCAGAAGTTTAAGCACTTCATGGTCTTTTTTGAGCGACAATTTGATTGTCGTATTCACGTTTTAAGGACGGACGGTGGAGGAAAATACAAGACTTTGGATCTATTCTGCAAGGACACTGGCATTGCGCGCCAGGTGAGCGAGCCACGTAATCAAGCAAGTAACGTAAAAGCGGAGCGAATGCACCGCATCACTATGAACATGATGCGGAGCATGCTATTTGATTGTGGATTACCGTTTAATTTCTGGGGAGACGCCGCGGAATATGCGGTGTATATTCTTGAGCGGAGCCCGAGCAAAGCGAATATGAGAAGACAGTCACCATTTCAAATGCTTACGAAGAGCATCCCAGACTTGAGCGACATTGTGGTTTTTGGCTCGCCATGCACGGTCCATAGGGATGCGAGTAACAAGTCGTTGGGGGGGGCGTGGAAAACAAGGCATCATCATCGGCAAGAGCGATAAAATGAAGGGATACAGGGTTTATTTGCCAATGGAGAAGACCGTCATCGTTACACAGCACGTTCGAAACGTGAAGACACTAATTAAGGAGCAGAATGCGCAGTTACGTCGTGTGCATCCAACGGTGGAAGATGGAGAAATTGACGAGCGTGGTGGTTATGCGTCAATGAAGAACCCAATACCGGTTCCAAGAGAAAAGAAAGGGACGAGGACAAAGAAAATCCTGGACGCGCGATGCTCACATGACCAGGACGGCGGCGCAAAAGGCACGCAGAAACGATGAAGAAAGTAACTGGCCTGGTGAAGGGATTCATAGCGTGATGGAGGCGGACTCGAAGAATTATGGGCAAGCCATTAAGAGTGAGCAGAGGCAAAATTGGCTTACCGCAATGTCGGAAGAGCTGCAAGCACTTGAAGACAACGGAGTTTGGTTGATCGTAGTGCCACCAAATAAAAGTCACGTGCTGCACACAAAATGGGTCTATAAGACCAAAACGGACGCTGATGGAGCTATTGAGCGATTCAAGAAGAGATTGGTTGCCTGTGGTAATGAGCAGGTGTATGGCGTTGACTATGGTCTTACTTTTGCTGCTGTTATAGAGTTGAGCACGGTGAAAATGATTCTTGTGCGTGCGTTGCGTTGGGGACTACCGGCGAGACACGGGGATATTCCTAACGCGTACGTGAATGCTGATAAAGAAGAGCACTTGGATATCTACTTGGCGATCCCACAGGGGATGAAGATGTAAGATGGCACTCTACGACAATTTGGCGTACAAGACAAATCGTACTTATCGCTACAGCTGAAGAAGTCTCACTATGGGCTCAAGCAGGCGGGGCCGTCTGGAACAAATTGCTGCACACCAGGATGGAGGAGGCTGGATTCACGCAGTGTGAAACCGATATGTGCTTGTATTGTAAGCGCCAGGGAGACGATGTGACGATTGTCGGCGTTTACGTGGACGACTTACTAGTCACAGCATCCAGTCTGAGGATGGTAGAGCTGTTTTTCGAGGCGGTAGCATGTTTATCGATCAAAGATTTGGGCGAGGTTCGCAAGATTCTCGGTATGCGAGTTAGTTTGGAGGACGAAAAGACGTGCACAGTGGATCAACAAGCGACTACTAAAGAAATGCTTGAGAGTCATGGTTTGAAGGAGGCGAATGGTGTTCGTGCGCCTATTAGTGATGAAGCTAAAACGGTGGAAAATGACCCTGTGTTACTGACAACGGTACCGAAACAAAGAGGTGACCCAACGATTCGCGACTCATAATCGCTTGTGGGGAGCTTACTTTGAATTTCAAGATGTTCACGTCCGGATATCAGCTTTGCAGTTCACAAGGCCATGCGGCGCACTCATCAACCTACTATGAGTGACTGGAAGTTGACAAAGAGGGTCGTAAGATACTTAAAAGAGACCAAGATCCTCAAGCTCAAGATGATTGTTTTAAGAAATGAAGGAAACAAGATTAATTTGGCGAGTTGGAGCGACTCGGACCATGCGGCTGATAAGGTGGACCGAAAGTCTGTCACAGGCGGAGTTTTAACTATGGACGGTGCTATTGTGCAGTGGGTGTGCAAAAAGCAGACCGGGTGTCGCTATCGACATGGGAGGCGGAGTTTGCGTCGGCCTCGCACGTTGGGCGAGAATCGCTAGGACTGAGGGAGCTAATGCGTGAGATTGCATTCCAAGTGAAGGCCCCAATGTCAATGCTCATGGACAACCAGGCTACTATCAGATAGCTGGAGACTGAAGGAAGTATGTCGAATGTCAAGCACGTTAAAGTGCGCATGTAGTTTATATGCGATTATGCGAGGAAGGACATCGTGAAACCGATGTTTGTGGAATCGAGCATTATGAAGGCGGACTTGCTGACGAAAGTATTGCCGGCGACAAGGATTGCAGAACTACGAAAGCTGTTCAATTTGCTGTAAACATCGATTGTGGGCGAGTGTGCGACGACCAAGGAGGAGTATTGGCGAAAATGCAAGATGGTGAGAGTTTGACGAAGTTCGGCCGACAAGTCTCGGCAGGAAGATGCAGCCATAATCGGTTTATAAAATGGTTGGATGGTAGAGAGCATTGTTTGTAGGACGTTCAAACAAATATCACTTCTACTTTCAAAGCATCCTCTAAACCTATAAAGTCTAACAGTACATGGTATGCAAACTAGGAACTGATGCTTGTACCGATTTAGTACAAGCAACCCACACACACCACAATGTAGGGAGTTGCCTCAATATCTCTTGTATACTATTCAAGCAGCGGAAGGTGGTTCTACTAAGTGAGTAAGCCTAGTGCGAGGGTTCAATTAACCGATATTTAAATTAAAAACAAATAAATTCCCGCCAGCGGCTTCAAGGAGATCGATCATACGATGAACAGTTTGTACTAAAGATTGAGTCATCTGCTGTCCTGGCCTTTTCAAGTATCGATATTGCTTTTTTTTGCAGGTGCATCACCTATACACATATCAGGATACAATCTGTCTAGCATGTACATGTCGATAAATAGGCGTAAGGTGTGGTCCCTCAATCTTGCGCACTGCTACGTCCAGTGTAGTTATAACGATCACATTTTTGCTAAGACATCTTAGAGAATAAAGTACCACAGCTTACACTGACGCACACGGCCGATGGATTGACAAAGTTATCAGAACAGTCTTACTTCTCAAGCTAGGAATGCAGACCTGCTCGGATGGTAAATGAGCAATGGCAAACATAGTACGGATGTGTGTAGCGAATGAGCGATAGTTTAGCAACCAGGGATGGAAGCGACATTACTTTATTTTTATCCTGCTCTGCTGCTTTGTGGCTCAAATGACGCTAAGCTATCGTTGATTTGTTATGGAGGCTCAACCCTACATTTTGTTGTCTCACTTAAATAAGTTTATTTAATGATGATACATGCTGGAATTAATACTCAGTTTGATCGAGTTTGTGAAACATTTGCAAGTGATTCTTGTACACAGATAAAAAAGATACTTTGTGATGTCAGCAAGTCAAGCGACGCGAAATATAGATAGTCGACGCAAGCGTTTGTGAGATGTGCAGCTTTGTGTAGATAGCTAGTACACTGACCTCTTCTCGCATCGCAATTGCCAAATACTATCACATTGAGTATCTAAGTCGGCTTCTGCGCTTGCTTGCACTGCATCCGAGCTGTCAAACTATCCGTGCTCGTTTTAGACTCAGGCCAGGGTGCCTCTATCTTGACCTGTTCTATACAGTAAGGCGTCGTACGTCGCTGCACATTGTACACTCGAAGCGTTCAAGTGTGCAGCAGGTTGCCGCTGTGACCCGCTTGCTCACCCTCTACAAATAAGTAATGCCCAGATCCACCCTGCCAACCTCCACACTCTTTCACAGCATGTGAACAGGTCGCTTCCCACTCGGATGTTTGACCATTTTCATCTTGCGCAACTGACAAGAGCACTCTGTAAGACTGACCTTGATAACATAGCGTTTAAGATGCAGGACGATTCAAATCTTGCTGCAGATTCGTGGGTTCCTCACCCCGACGAGGCAATCGACTGGCCAGACAAACATTCATACAGACCCGACCGACCGGCCTTGCATTTACTAGCAGAAAACAGTAGACGCAACCCTGTTCGTTCCAGCATTCGACCAAATGCGTGTCATAAGGCATCGATTTTACGGACTTTGTCATGTGCTAAACAAATCACCGATTGCCATCGGAGCTGCTGACAGTGAATACGTAATCGGTTGATGGTCGCACGCTAGAAGGAGGTCTCGTTGCATAAGCTTTTGACATCAACGTATAACTCTGGCACAACATCTTTGACTGCTTGTCTGAACGATTCTTACCTCCTAGACTACTACTTGTCGTACGAATCCACAGCTGCGACGTCATCGAAACGTAGAGGTCCCGTTGAGCCGTGCTTTGCGAGTTAGCCATGCTACTGAAGGTAACGTTCGAGAAACGTGTATACACTCATATATCAGGAAGACGTACGTGAGCGGACGGACGCAGGTGTACCCCCAGTAGCTGTTCGTCGTACAGTGTTGCCACTTCGGAGCTTGGAGGTCGCCCCCGAAACGAGTGTGCGCCACACTATCTTTCATCGAAACACGCGAGAGCCTTTGCACATCACCCACCCATCCATCCACCCACCCACCCCTTTCTTCCCACTATCCCACACAAGTATCCCTTGATTTAACCCAAAGTAGTGCCTGTGACAACTTATTTCCTCCACCTGCGTGTATACAGCGTCCGCCCATCCCCCGAGGAGTGCCCCCCCACTCGTATTCCCGATCGCACGTGTCCCCACTGCGTCATCACCGCATCGCCGCGCACCTGTGAGCATGCGGACGTCTCTCGCGGCAGTGGCCGTCGCATCGCTCGTCTCTTGCGCGTCGGCCGACGTCGAGACGCACGAGGTACGTCTACAGTCGCCCCCTTGACCTCTCTGTTGTAATACTCGTATTCCTCACGCGCGCGCGCACGCGCACTCTCTCTCTCTTTGTTTGTCATGTGGCTACACGTTTCATCCGTATAGTATACCCTTAACGAACCCGTGATCGTCTGGGTGAACAAGATCGGCCCCTTTAACAACCCGCAGGAGACGTATACCTACAATACACTCCCCTTTTGTCGCCCCGCGGACGGCCAAGAGCTCGAGGCCCATGCGCTGGGCATTGGCGAAATCCTCGAGGGCAATGAGCTGTTCAACTCGGGCCAACAGCTCCAGTTTGGCGTCCCAACGGCCACGACGACACTCTGCGAGCAGACGCTCTCGGACGCAGACGCGCTCCAGTTTGCCGCTGCGGTGGACGACCATTACTGGTACCAGTTGAGTGTGGACGATCTGCCCGTGTGGGGCCTCGTGGGCAAAGTGATGAAGCCAACGGACGACGCCGAGCTCTTGAAGCGCTTTCCCATTGGCTCGCGCGTGCTGTATACGCACAAGAAGTACTCGATCTCGTACAACGGCCCGCACATTATCCACGTCAACTTGACGTACTCGGACGGGCTCACGTCTATTGCGTCGAACAAACCAGTGGCGTTCACCTACGAAGCCGAGTGGGTCGAGACGGACATTCCGTTTGACGGCCGCTTTGACCGCTACTTGGAAGACGAGTTTTTCGAGCACCAGATCCACTGGTTCTCGATCTTCAACTCGTTTATGATGGTCATCTTCCTCTGCGGTCTCGTAGCGCTCATTCTGCTGCGCACGCTCAAGAACGACTATGCGCGCTTTGCTGCTGACGACGCAGAAGAGATGATGATGGACGGCAAGTCGTCGCTGCTGCGGGACGACGCCAACTCGGGCTGGAAACTCCTGCACGGCGACGTGTTTCGGGCCCCGCCGTTTTTGCTGCTCTACACGGCGTTTGTGGGAACGGGCGCGCAGTTGCTGGTGCTCTCGGTGTGTTTGATTTTGATTGCTACTGCTTCGTCGCTCTACATTGAGCCCGGTGGTGTCGTGTCAGTGGGGCTTACCGTCTATGCCTTCTCGTCGTTGGCCAACGGGTTTGCAAGCGGCGCTTTCTACCACCAGTTTTTCTACCCGCGCGTGTCAAAGGACTGGATCCGTGCCATGTGTCTGTCGTCGGCGCTGCTCCCTACGGTCACGTTCGTGTCGGTGTTTTTCATCAACGCGCTGGCCGTGTTCTATGGCACGACGTATGCCATCCCGTTCGTGACGATCGTGCAGGTGGTGTTGGTGTGGTTCTTTGTGTCGTGCCCGCTCGCTGTTTTGGGCACAATCTTGGGGCGACATGGTGCTGGCAAAGCAGGCTTCCCGTGCCGTGTGAACAAGTTCCCACGCGAAATACCCGAAGCGCGTTGGTATCTGTGCCCGCCGGTACTGATCGCGCTCACGGGTGTGCTGCCGTTCGGGTCGATCTTTATCGAGATGTACTTCATCTTTGCATCGTTTTGGAACTACAAGTTCTACTACGTGTATGGATTCATGCTACTGGTGTTCATCATCCTGACGATCGTGACGCTCTGCGTTACCATCGTGTGTACATATTTCCTGCTGAACGCTGAAAACTACCGGTGGCATTGGACATCGTTTGCGGCCGCAGGCAGCACGGCAGTCTACGTCTTTATCTACGCCATCTATTTCTATTTCTTCAAGACGAACATGTCGGGCTTTTTGCAGACTTGTTTCTACTTTGGCTACATGTAAGTACTGACGAGACGCTATACGTTTGCGTGGGGATTGCATCACCGACACTAAACGTCTCTGTTCTGGCATGTAGGGGACTATTTTGCTTTGCGTTCTTCATCATGTGCGGCACTGTCGGGTACCTCGGCAGCAGTGTGTTTACGAAGCGCATCTATCGCAACATCAAGTGTGAGTAAAGCAAGTGCCAGGCGTGCGACCGACCGGCAGCACGATGGCAGAAAGCCGAACGATGATGGAGTCAGCAACGCGCATTGAGCAGGTAGGACTGGAGTGTACGTTTGCGTGCAGCTACGCGTGTTTGTTATCCATTGTGCTGGAAAGGAGCATCCATCGTGAAAGGCCAATGAATAACAGGCGGCAGCACTGGAACATGCGCATTGTGTACAGCATTGTTATTCGTTCATACGCTTGTGATGATGGGGGTCGCTGGCAGAGGCAGGAGCAGTTGAAGTGGTCAATAATGCAGCACGTCGCGTGCAATGGGTCGGCAATTGCTGCAGTGACGTTTAAACATGCTCCGTGTCGACATGAGTTGGTTGCAGAGTGGAATCTGCACGACGAACGGTAGACGACAGTGTGAACAACAGAAATACAAACACTGTGGAGCCCACGAGCTTAGCCGATCAGATGCGAAGAAATTGGCATTCGGGACGTAGAGTGGCGAACTGAAGAGGTGTGCGCAGCAACTCATCATTGAAAGAGGTGATGGTAGCATTTCGACGGTATCACACGGCAGACCAACCTTTGTAAGCAGCTTGCTACTACATTTGCTTCAAATCCGTTTGGAGTACCTGCTACAGTTAATGGCAAGGTGCTGCAAACGGATTTGTCGTAAACAATCACGACGACATTGCACGCACACATGCAGCGGTACCTACGGGGAAAGCGGAGGCAAAGGCAGCCTTCGCTCACAGGTAACCCAGGAATTACTTCAGCCCGCCCATGTCACACATGGCCGCTGTAGACGCTTGTCCTTATGCTAGAACGGTCGGATTGAGCTCAGTTGTTGTTCCAGATTCAGTCTAGCATCGTTCCGCAGTGAACTTGTCTCCAGCATCATGGGATGGAGCTTGACAGGAAGTTGAGCTTCGAAGCAGCCTCAACGTGATCACCGTCTGACGACCGACACGAGACCAAAGAGGTGGTTTGATCAACGGCTACAAATGCGACATTCACAATGTGGAGCGATCACAGCGCCGTCCATGTGGACGTTGTCGGCAATGTACGGATTGCGACGCTCTTCGGACAATCGAGTTACCTCAGGCTACTTCCAGCGCGGTAAGTTCCTGAGGTAGAAAAGCGCGTCAACGACTGCGATGCTTGCCGAAAGGGCGATAATTACTGCACGTACCAGGTTCGTAACAATGCGGTTCCAGGCCTCCATCGTCCTGACAAGTGTGTGCCATTGGTTCTCGGCATTGCAACTAGGCACTTGACGCAGCTCACTCTTTTCCTGCTCCACCTAAGCCATCATTGTCAAGCATACTCGGTCAATGATTCGTCTCTTTGTCCGATTTCCAGTCTCCGCTACGAGCTCACCATTGCCAAAAGTGGACCAATTTCCTCGGATAGACTGCTGCAGTCGTCGCCACCTGTCACACAAAAGCGTCAGGTACAAGCTCATTGCGATATATGCCAACTTGTGGTTGCCTCGCCTCTTTCAATGGTTTCCGCCCTCTGCTGCTCCGCCAAATACGCCAGTCGCTCAGCCAAGTGGTCGTAGAATTCGCCACTCAGCTCGTCGATACATGTCTGTGGCGGAATCACTACTTGCTCCTGATCGGCTTGCAGACTCGGTGTATGGCGTGTTTGCCAAAGTGCTGCGATAGGAGACGTCTGGTGACTGTTGCTGCTATTGCTACGCTCACCCAAACTGCTGCTTGATCCACTTTGCGTTCGAGTGTGCCATACACTTGGTGGCATTGGTTCCACGATAGGTACAGCAGTGTCAGTGGTGCTCCCAGGTAGAGCACTCTTGTCTTCCGGCAGCAGCTCATTCTTGTTAAACACACTGAAACGCGCGCTACGAGTAAAAACGAGCCCTCGATATGCGTACCGCCGCACACTTCGTATGCACTTCCAAAGCGTGCTGCATGAGGTCGCTAGCGATGCCTGCTAGTCACAGAATGACAGTGCAATTAGTACGGCCCAAGAAGCTACCAGTTTGAGCACAGGACGGCATACTTTCGATGAGCCAATGTGATATCTCTGGTTCGAGAACTCGATCAGCACGTGATGCACATGATCCGGTCCTACGTATGACAAAACCAGCGTCCGAGCATCCTTACGGCGAAGCAGAAACGTGCCTCGCTCGCGGTTCCTGTACAACCGCAACAAGAGTTGAGCACGTGGACTCGAATCATGGTCACAGCCGATGTGCACAGGACGTACTCAAGAAGAGCTTCGGCACGACCCCGGCTGATGCTACCAGCAAAAAAGCTCCACGCCTCCTGCTCGTTGCGTCGATCTCTCTCAGCTCTCTCTTCTTCTATCTGTCGCTGGAGAGCCTCTTCTTCTTTTTCTCGCCGATGAGACTCGGCGGCAGCCGCAGCATCTTCCTCTTCGTTCATCTCTCGCAGACCAGAAAACGGAAACTGGAACTCGTCAATGGACTCTGAGTCGTCATCAGTCTCGTTATTGCACAGGAGACTGCTTGTTGTCGCACGTAAGTAGACGCCTTTGTCGCAACCCATTATCCAGCTGCCACCGTAAGTGAGGGGACGGTCGGTCGAGCCCAATGGACCATTTACCGCTGGCACGACGGCGGACTTCTGTTCTCCGCCATGATGAGCGAATTGTTCGTCACTTGTACGCACGTTTTCATCACGCGGTAACGTCGTAATCGCTTTTGTAGGGATCCGCAGCAAAGAGGACGGAAAATGGTGCAACGCGCTGTCAGTGCGGATGACTTCCAGACGTGCCGGGGTGCTGCATGTCTCGAGAATACCCTGCATTAACGCACAGTCAAGAGCAATGTCAGCTGCTTCTGCTTCCGTACTGCATTGTTCTAGCTGCACTCCTCACCCGTGGCTTTTCCAAACGCGCGAGTCGAACATGCTCCCTCGCAATGCGATCTCGGCAAATGAACTCTACCATGCGCTCAAGCGCTTCCTCTACAGCCGGACGCTTTTCGTTCTCACCAAACGTTGACTTGCCTACTGTCCACATCCAGCACTTGTATCCTGCCGCCTACGCCATCAAGTCCCTCAATTAATCCGTGTAGCAGCAACACCACAACTCACGACTCCACTTGATTAGCACTCCGTCCACGGCGTCCATCGCGTACCTTCGCATACGTTGCAATGTCGTCACTGGTCATAACGCGTTTCTGCAACAGGTCGGCCTTGTGCGAGAGCAAAAAGCACGGCGTCTCCTTCGGGGACAAGTACTTGGACAGACAGTGGCGCCACTTGTCAATCGCTGCAATTGAACTCACGCGGTGCACGTTGAACACGAAGAAAATGCCGTCGAGATCCTCACACAGCAGCGAGTGCAGCGACGACGCACTGGCGTCCACTTCTGCGCTCGAGACGTCCCACACATGCAGCAGCAGCTCTTGTTTGCAGTGCGTGTACCCCATTGTGCTCACGTCGACGCCAATCGTGGGCGAGTACGTGGTCGAGTACGAGCGCTGGAGCCAGCGCCGCACGAGACTCGTCTTGCCCTGTGCACAGCAGCACACCACAAGAGACAATCACAAGATCAGTGGGTACAGCAAATCAAATGGCTACAGATCCACAAGGCATCACATAGATGGCTACAAATCGATGCCTCTATGTATCTATATAACTAATTGGTCGACGGACGTACCACTGCTGGTCCGCCAACGAGTGCGATTTTGAGCTCAGGCAATGGGTTCAGTCGGTGGTCGGCCCGACGTGCGGCCCATTGGCGGAGCGCGTCTTCCGCATTGGCCACGTCGGCGCGGTCGGTTGTTGCAGTACCGGAAGCGCTTCGAGCAGTGGCGTGCGCTGCTGCGTCGCCCAGAAACGTCGCGGAGATCAGTTTCATCCATGTCGACGGAGCGCTCTCGGGGCCGTCTGGAGCTCGTCGGGGCATCACGTGGGACAGGGTAGTGGTATGACTGACGGGGGGGGCGGTCGAAATGGGTCGATCGAGTCGCGAACGAGAGACGGGGTCGTTCGAGTGTGCGTTGATTGACGAAAAGGAGGACCTATATTCGACTGCATGTGCTCATTTTTACCCATTCGCACGACTTCAAATGTGATTAATTTACAGTTCCCAAAAAGCGCTGCAGATGACAGTTTTAGGCACGTGGTCAATTGATATCGTACCCACACAGTTACGTTTGTCGCGTTGGCTTGCGATGGAAGCAGACGGATATGTTACAGAGTATGAGCCATCTGCTAATGGGGTAAAGAGGGCGACTTATTGCCGAACACGTACAGCGCCGCTTCACAACTGACCGAGTTGCTCGCTGGCTGTATGTCCGAATGTATCGGTATCAAGCTCCAGTTGCAGTCGAGTTGTCAGGCTTTTGATCGAGCGTTGCGTGTACCCTGCGCCCCATCATACCGAACATCTACTCACACACTTGCGATCTCAGCTCTCAAGTGCGAACCGCGTCAAGTTCCACTCGGTGTCTCCCATTGCCGCCGAGCACTCCCGAAAGCGACCATGGAAGCAACAAACCACTTGACAACGTCCCGCTTTCTCCAGCCACAAACGAGAGCGTCCACAAGGGAGTGGGGATCCACTTGACTATCAGGCCAAGTCCAGCCCGTGCAGCAAACTACGCAGGGGTGGTTGGTTACCCACTGCTGGCCATCAACGTACCCCGTCCACCCCGTCCACCCCGTCCACCCCCCCTCTTCTGTACCCTCCCCCCCCCCGTTGCGAAACTGGCCTCTTCGCCCTCGCGCGCCTGATTGGCCAAAACTCGTCCCCCGCGACTCGTCCGTCCGCCGCCACCGGCCGAATCAATCGCCGCCCCCTCCCCATGCGACGCGCGCGGTCCCCGTCGGCGCTGGACGCGCACCCCAGCGGCGTCTTCTTCCGCCTGCCGCTCGTGCTGCTCGTGGACTTCCTCGAGCTGCACGAGGCCATCCACTTGCTCAACACGAGTCGCTGGCTGCGTCTCGACCGCGTGCTGACGGCCACAGCGCTCGAGAAGACGCGCTACGCACAGCATTTCCACCAAAAGTGCGCCGCGGACTGGTGGCACTTGACGCCCATGTGGAAAGCCGACGACCGCGTGGCGCTGAGCGAGTGGGACGAAAGCGACGACGCGGCTGCGGTCGCTACGCGGACTTCTGACCTCTGGGAGGACTGCCACGGGCGCGCGGCGGCCGGGAACGCGCTCGTGTACTGGCGGGACACGATCCGCGACACGCCGCAGTGGCAGCACGTGCCGCTGCTGTCGATCATTGACTTTATGGTGTCGAAGCTCTTGCCGCAGAGCTACATCTCGTTCAAGTACGCCGCGACAGTGTACACGGCGAGGCCGGTGATTGTCCGCCTGCATCCGTCGTTCGAGCGACTGGACAGTCGCAGCAGCAACAACCGTAATGACGAGCAAGGCAATGATAAGGACGAGGGGCTCAAGGACACGGAGGGAGGGCTTGAGGGGGCGTGCCATCAAGACGTTGCGCGTCGCATCAGTGAAGCTCTGGGGGCTCAGACCGGGACGGGCAAACTGACGTCTCTGTTTGGTTTGCATTGGGAGAACATGAACATGGACGGCGAGACGGGCGAAGTGACGTGTGCAGTCTGTCAGCTGTATGCCAACGAAGTCGAGCGGTACCAGAGCAAAGTGGCCGACATGGTGAAGGAGTGGCGAGCAGCAGTGCAAGCCGAGCTGCCGGGGTGGAAAGCAAAGGGCATGCATCAGATGGAGATTGACCGTCGGACGTACGAGATGCGGGAAGACATGATCCCGTACAATGGCTTCTTTACATCGAACGTCGCGCGACGCCATGGAGACATTATCATTCGTCACATTTGCTCGTACTGGACGACGTTGGATCATTTGAGGATCAACACGCTCGGGTACCGCGACGCCTCGCAGCTCGTTGCGGCGCTGACGTCGGATATTAGGAAACAGTGTCAGCGCTTTTCGAAGATCAAGCAAGCGATGACGAACGCGTTTCCGTGCGTCGCAAGAGTGCGCTACGAAGTGGACGAGCAGGAACCTTTTCCATCAACAAATCTGTGGCAGAACGCCGCTGTCACCGAGCTAGTGGCAGGTGTGTCGCAGTCGGGGTTCCTGTGCGGCATGCTTTTCATCGAGAAAAGAGTTTGAGCGGCTGGATGATGGGTCTACTACGTCGAGGAACGAATGGCAGAGCTGTGCTTGCTGGATGTGAAGCTGACCGCATCGCCACTGGTCTTTCCGTCAAGGCACACTCGAGCTAGTGTGAACACCTCGGTGTACACACATCGCAAGATGTCTGCTTGGCCCGCGCGGTAAGTGTGATGGCTGCTTCACTGCACCGGACGAAGCGATGCAGTGGATAGTCGCGACTCGGTGGTGCACAGAGCAGACTACATCATCACGTTTTTCTGCTAGATTGATCGGCATCAGGCGATAAAGAGAGTGTCAGCACTAGTGCTCGACTTATATAGCTATAAACTTATTATCTTCTTCGACTCAGCTGGATGTAGCCACCTTCCGCATGTCAGGTCGAGGAGCTCTTGGCACGTTTGTTCACTCACAATGCAGACTGATGTGCCACTAGCATGAAGGGCAGTTCCATGTTGCTGTCTCTGCGAGCGCTTCTGGCGCCATTGAACTGATGACGCACGTTCCGAACCCCACTAATCGACGACTGCTGCAAAGTTCTTTGCATTACCCTTTGGCTTAACTGGAGAGAGCTAAACGTAGTCGAAGACAATTCTTGCTACTTACCATCAACAGCTAGCAAGAAAACGGACGTCTCGCTCAGTTGCTGCGCTACTACAATGCAGACGCAGAGGGGCTTCCAGTCAGCAACGACTTGCCGATCGGCGTCACCGGTATCGGGAAGGACACCTGCTTGCACCCGGTAGCTGCACCCCCGTTCGATTCGACTTCCACGTGGTCCGCATACGAGACGTCCAGGAGCAGATCGTTTCCAGTGATCGTGATCCTCCTGCCGGGATCCGTGACACACACGCTGAAGCTGTCGTCGTTCGCTGTGATCGAGTACAGCTTTCCCGTGCACGTGTCGCTGACGGCGTGGGTACTATCCGTAACATTCATCAGCGCACGGGCAATCGCATTGATCGGTGGAACCGCGTACGGACCTGTTTCCGGATACAGACACCCGCCGGGTTCCGGTCGATCCGGATCCATCACGGCGAACCCATCCGTCTGGACGTAGGAGGTCACGGGCTTGGCCCAGATCGAGGGAAGGTAGACGTCGCCGAACGTGGCGTTGACGTCGTAGAGCACCTTGTGCCCCTCACACGACAAGACTGGCTTGGCATGCAGGAGGTATTGGTTGCGCGGAGGAGCGCTGCTCAAGAGCGTGACGACGATTGAAAGGCCTCGCCACGGCGTTATCGGCTCTGCTTGGATACCTTGCGATTCAGCAGCGTCAAAGGACGTGCCGGCCAACACCGAAAGCAACGCGGTGTAGAACACCGTCAAGCACAGAAGAGCTGACGGCATGCGAATCGAACGAAAGGCCGAGTGGCGGCGGTGCTGTGGGGTAAGGTGCAAGCGGTAAAAGCAGGTGTGAGGCCACGCATGACCGACCATCCACAAACGATCTGGGAGACTATCTCCTGGAAGAGTCTCAAATGCTGGGTGCTGTTAACACCTGGTAGAGAGAGACATTGAGGTTCGAGGAATGTACCATCTGGACAGAGCTTTGCCTGAGTTCGGAAGTGTCTGGATCGATCGCCAGCCTCTGATCGTGAAGAACGCGATGCATGAGCTGCAGCAGCCATCTGCTCATGGTTTTCTGCAGCCCATCGTGATTACGGGCAGCCCATCCGTCTTACGATCCGGCTTTGCATACGTCTCTATCCTCCTCCTCCTCCTCCTCCTCAACGAACGACTTTGGCGAGTCCAGCAGAACAGTTTCTGCGCGTGCGTCGTATCGTGGAAGCTTTTTGGGCTCACTATGCAGCCGCCACGAAGTCTGGTAGTGTGTTGAATACGGCAGTGTCGACGCCCGATCGTGTCTACATGTTTATCAATATGACCACTAGGCGAAGCGACACGACACCTCCGTCAGTACATGAAGGTTTGACTGGTCGAAGGTGTTGACGGCGCGGCCAGAACAAGACACCCAAAGCGTCAGCTTTGAACGACTGGTGAATGGCGAATAGTGAGGCCCTGCAAGCAAAAGTCCATAGTGTCATCGTGCTCGTAGCATTGCTCGTCACGGTGGTGGTCTCTGACACCTCTACGTTGACAGAAAAAAGCTCTCCGGATTGCTCGCAAACTAGTGATGTGGAAATACATAACGTCATCGAAACGGAACAGACACAAAGTAAATTGAGGCGTTTTGTACACGACAAAAGCTGCTTTAGGAATCGTGTCGGGTTGTCGGCATTAGTGGCAGTCAACCCGGCACGGAAGAAACGTGCGTTTCTGCGGTCATCACAGCAGGCAGTTTGGCGTGGATACATCAGGCATCGTGTGAAACGATAATGACAGACTCGCTGGTCGTCACACCGCGGGACCTTTCGATATTATCGAAGTGAACAGCCAAGACTGGCATCAATACGAGTAGAGTTAGGTACGTGATATCCGATGGGACGGGCTACAGTAGGTGCGTGGCATCAACCGACGGAGCTGTATGGGAGGCATTCGTGGACATGTACCAAAATGTAATGCCCCGACTCGCATACCGCAGACTAAATGACTAAAGGCGTTGCCTGTAATTCGAAAGATGAGATTGATCATAATTAAAATTAGAGAAAACGATTTACACTTTGCAACGAAGCGAGCCCGATACATGTCATTGACACTTATTGAGTCCCCGTTCAATGTGAGTATTATCTTTATTGATAATTGTCTCCAATATTTACCTGACCAAGTAGATATTGAAGCCAGTACTGTGTATTATCTTTTGATAATTGTCTCCAATATTTACCACCAAGTAGATATTAAAGAAAAAGTACTGTCGAAGGTAATATTCGACACTTCACCACTCATTGGTTAAAAGAGTTCATTATGTCATCCAATCAAGCCTCCAATTGCCGCTTGATCTCGAATGAGCGATGAGCGAGTTTTTACATCGGAAGTTTATGGTTTAATATTCTTCAAATGTATCCAAAAGGGGTTGATTAGGAGATTTGATTATAATAATATTGTTACGTTCTTCTTCTTCCAAACGTGCATAAAAAGACAAGCCCAAGTCTGCCGGACCAGTGTCCATGATACTCAGGCGCACCCGCCTACACTGTAGTCAATATAGACAGCTTGTACTGTGGTAATACAAGCGGAAAGTCCCCCATTAGACACTTTCGATTCCAAAATCGAGTAACAAGATATAGAGCTCGCTTTTACACATTCTAGACGGAGACCCAAAGTAAGATTTATACTCTCGGATTTCAATGGTCAGAAGAGACGTATGGGAATCAATCAGGCGTTGTGAGGAGAGATAATTGCTAAAGGGTTATGTTTTGGATGTAGCCGGGTTTTCAGAGGTGTACGCCGATATAGTCTGCTAGATAGTACTATTTTGTCCTATTTGAGGTCGTTTTAGAATCTTCGATACATTGTCTAATGTTTATCAGGGTCAGAGACGGCTGCACTAATATTGCTCACTTTTCGACAAGTAATCCACTGAGAAGATCCGCGGCGGCAAGGCAAAACGCGTCTGGTTGGCGTCCGAATGTAAAATCTATTTGTTAGTCGTTCTGAGTTTCCTACAACATCGACAGTGTGACCGTAGCTGTGTCGAGTCATCCACGTAATTCACTAGGTAGATTATTTGATTTAGAATTCATAAACTTATGGTCCTTACATACCCAGATACCTGCGATAAGTACATGTACATAATTCGAATTCGATGGTGCACCGTTTTTCCACTCATGCTACAATCCGCCTACCGGCTGCGATCCATTTTTAGGCCTAGTTGGTGGCGCGGCCTTATACTCGTACATATTCGAGTGGAATTGTTTACAAGCCGGGACTCGAGTATCAGTCTCCCAGGACTTAATATCAGTGGGTTAAATCACTTCACTTGAGCGACATATATGCCTAACCTCCTGAGCGTTGTTTATATATTGAAGGAATGGACGAGGTGATAGCATGAGATAGGCTGATAATATCTCATCTATACCAAGAACGAAGCCTGCCCAATGATAATACATTAGTTTAGAGAAGGCAAAAGTCCATAAGCTCCTTCTGCCACCTCGAGAAGACGATATCGCTTCACTTGTTGCTTTTTTACCTATCCTATCCTAGCACTGCACATACATACACATTGCTATTTACGTCTCAGTATATTGACGCAAAACTACGTTCTGGTCAATGTGTAAGTAAAAGTCCTTCAAAAGTAACATATTAAGTGGCAATAATTCGCTTCGTTTATAGTACTATACAAAATTCATCTTCGACAACACTTCATCAAGCCATCTTTAGATTGGTGTGCTTGCCTGTGCAACCGTGACTTCGCTGCTTACCTTTTCAATAAGCTGCAATAACACACCAAAAAGAAGAGACGGAAATACATGGAGGTGGATATACTGCTAATTTGTGGTGCCGTCGATGAAAAAACTTCGCTTCCTTTAGCGATAAGTATGCACTTACTTGATTTATTCGTTCTCTATCACGTTTAAACAGTTACCTGCGCGTGTAAGAAACGGAATCTTATAGTGATACAGATAGTACCCTGACCAGTAAATGTGATAAAGAACATGTAAAATGGTACCAATGTAAATACTTCGAGATCAAGCCTAACAGAATCATGGAACATGTTTTTCGTAATTTGTAGACGCGCACCAATAGAGACATTTTCTACTGTTAACTAATGTATTTAAGCTAGTCATGCATTGTAGTTTTGTGCGTAACGAAACTGCCCCCAGTAGATGAGAACTTAGTAAAACTAGAGCTAATGCCTTCGGTACCACCTGTGTCGACTACGTACAACCATGTCAACGCAAGCCCGAGAGGGGCTCTTGCCATCCCGAGAGACCCTAACTTGCATCACTCGTCGCTCCTTTACGACTTAGGTTCGCGTCTCCTTCAATCTCCTTTCGAGGCGGCCTTAAAATAGCGAATTGGGATATATGAAGCAATAGATCGGGGCACAGCAAACGCTTCAACGACATTGTCAGCTGCACGTAATGCTACTCGCACCGTATCTCCTATATTAATATCTTTTATTGGTGTGCCACGATATGTTCTGCTCTCTACTGTGCTCTTTTCATTTATCTGCTTCATCGCAGATAGATAGTCCTGATGCATTAGAAATTTAAAACAGTTTTTTACATATGATTTCTCAAGCAGATTTATTCTTTCAAACAGATCTTCAGCCACTATCAAATATGTCACAAACATAGACTATCGTGAAAAATTCCTTGGCTTACTATTTTCCTGCACAACCATGCCATTATAATTATAAGCACAAACAGGACCAATCAATAATAAATTTGCGATCCGCACGGTATGCTGCTTTCTCCACATATCTATTCTCTTTCCCTATAAAAGATGGCGGCCCATAATTGCCACCCGGACCATTCAATCGTGTCTTCAAGTCAATTATATTTTTCTGATTGTTGCGACCATATGCCTTTTCCCATCGACAGATGAATTCTTGCGGCGCGTGCGAACGCCGTCTGGATCGAAGAACGAAAAACAACATGCATGGGATTGGCACATCGAGCTATCAACAAATTAATTTCGAGAATCGATCATCTATTGTTGGCGATAGGAGGCTCGATCGTGCTGGCACCCACCTTCACAAATAATCAGCCCTAATTCTTTCCGTCTTGTTCCTCTCAAGTAGTTTTTAGTATCGAAATAGGCTTCTCCAATCACCGATTGTAAATGTTGTAATTTTCTGCGCTTGCCTGAGGTACATATTTTAGTATCCTTGCTGTACGGGTGTCCTGTATACATAAAGTTGTCACTTGTCCGCAATATTTCATCTCAAGAAACCGAACTTACTTCTAATAATTTTCTATTCGCTCACACTATTTTCAGCTACCAGTAGTTCATCATGTAAAATTTGCCAGATTTGTCGTCAATTCATCACATATTTTATGTCGGCAACTGTAAGTGTGACATTGACGAGATGTATTAATTCGTATCGACAATTTAAATGTGCATAAATTATGCTCACAAAAAATACTTGGTTTTTGTGCCCACAAACTTCACTTTAGTATTGCATACCCTGAGGATCATATCGTTGACCTGATGATGTTCTTCTTTTTTGCTTGACGTTAGCTTTAGGGAAATCACTATACAGAGTTAATAAACGCATTATTGTTGCGAGAGCGAGGATGACACATACGATAGTCGTGTTCATCACGAATATAAAAGTCAAAGCATTATTCATTTTAGATGCCTGCTCGTTACCACATATCATGATTCTCGCCTAAAAAATGATCGAATGTCCCATCTGCAAGATTGTTGGTCTTGGCATCAAGCCAATTAATTGCTTTTGATGAAAGATTTGGTTTACAAATTATCGGATCTTTGATTAGACT